GCAATAGTGAGATGGTAACTCTCATTACGAAAGTTGTAACTCACATTACAAATGTTGTGATTATCATTATTGGGGTAGTGAAATTTGCTGAAACTAGATGTTACTTGGGTTTGAAAGAAATGAGTTGAAATGACAATAGTGAGATGGTAACTCTCATTACGAAAGTTGTAATTCACATTACAAATGTTGTGATTATCATTATCGAAATAGTGAAATTGGCTGAAAATAAATGTTATTTAGGTTTGAAAGAAACAAGTTACAAATGGTAATAGCGAGATGATAACTCTCATTATGAAAGTTGTAATTCACATTACAAATGTTGTGATTATCATTACCGATATAGTGAAATTGGCTCCAAATACATTTTACTTGGATTTGAAAGAAACGAGTTGCAAATGGTACAAAAGTAGTCACTTTCGTTATGAATATTGTTAATCCCATTACTTGTGTAGTGAAATTGGGTCCAAGTAGATGTAATTTGGGGCACAAATAATCGAGTTCCGAATGCCATCACGGAAGTGACAACTTTCATTATGCATGTTGTAATTACAATTACTTGTTTAGTAAAATTATCCCAAAAAAAATTTAAATTAGGCCTACAAATATCATAATATACAACCTACAACCATAAGTCAAATATCTTGACAGTATCTGGATATTGTTTTCACAAGTACTAATTGCTTAATCTACTAATCTTTACTACTATCATTGATTTTTTTCATTGTTACGAAAATTTATTTAAGTCATTATAATTTTTTCCATTGGATTCTTATAATTTTCTCAATTATACTTATTGCTCCTACGCTCATAATTTCTTAATTTGTGAGAGAAATGATATTAGTAACACATATTTGTAACAAATAACGAACTTAACTAATTTTTTATATATCAAAATTAGTTATCTTACTCTTATATTATGATGTTCTCAAATCGGAAATTAATTTTTTAAATTGAAGTTGAAAAATCTCATAGGCCTCCATTTTGTTGATGTAACTGTACGGTTTTATTTTTTTATTTTGAAAAAACACACAGAATTTTTCCAAATCTAAAAGTAAAGTTAATAATTAAAGAAACAAAAAAGAATTTACACGTTGATGGAATTCAATTAAGGGGAATCAAGAAAAATGACGACCATGATATTCAAGGATTCCAAAAAGAAAAAAGTTTGTTCGTTTGTTTTTTTTCCCAAAAAGGGCCAGAGGGAGAATAAATTTCAACCCGCAAATTCGGAGTAAAGTGAGAATCATCGAAGTGGAGTTTGCCTTTGCGGCGCTGTCCATTGTTGACTAGTAGCAGTTGGGAGGAACAAAGAGGGTGGTTTGTTTGCGTATGAAGAAAGCAGAATCAGTGAATTGGTTTTGAAACGTACCCATAAATATATATATATATATATATATATATATATCTCAGCCATCATTCAACACACAAACAATCTCATCCATGGCTACACTACTGATAGATCCACTTGTTCGTGAACGCTGGTTGAGATCACTGCCTCCTTATGAGATGCTGTATATCAAACATAGCTTCCTGGCCGTTATTATTGGTCTGGCATACTTATGTGTTTTCTTCACGTGGCTGGTTGGAGCATATGAGGGGTTTCAGATGGTGAGAGTGCTTGCAGTAGCCTATATTTGGCGTTTGATGCAGTGTACACTTGTGGGGCAAAACAAGGTCCCTCCCCTCTATTACCTGCGAAATGTTCTCCCATTCTATGACCTCCCCATTACTGTGGTTTTTGCTGCTTTTTGCTACGCAATTCCTCTAATTGCCAAATACCCGACAGCTCTCTTATTTCTGGGTGCATGTCTTACGCTCTGGCTCATTATCCTTAACTACAAGGTGCGCCATTTCCTCCCTTCTCTTAACAAGCGTTGTAGTGCCATGTCCATCATATCCATTAGCTGCTATTAACGCATACACTTCACTCCACAACAACACATGTTATACACAATATTCTCAGTAGTTGAGTCATCAATATACTGCACTAATGAACATGCTTTTATGAACTTGTTCTGAAATATAATGGTTGCTTCAATGATCATGCAGCTGCATAAACTGGAACAACATGTCAGCCCCACCCCAGCCTCTTCTTCCATCACCGAGTTGCTTCATATTCGATTTACTGACCATTTCACCATCATCCTCCTGGCAGCGCTATGTGTTGATTTAGGGGTCCAGCTTGAAAGCCTGAACGAAACATGGGCACTGCTATCCTGTTTCCCGTTGCTTATAATAAGCGATGCATGCTGTGCTACGCTGTCGCATATGCGGGGGGAACTCAAGGGCTCTGCCGTCCGTTACCAACGAAAGGTTCTCCTATGTTATCACCTCCCAATTGCTGCAGCTATCGCTGTTTTTTACGGCATCGTTCGCACATTTCCCAAAAGCTTACTCCTTGCATCATCTATATATTTAATTTCTCTGGCCAGGCGCCAATATGAAACAGAGGTTCTTACTGGGGCTGCGGAAGTTGGAGCTGTTTCTTCTTTAAACACTGACTTGGTTCATGAACACAATTATGATGTTCCTCATTCAGTCTCTTCTACCTCGAATTTTATATGTGATGACCCTACTGGGGATGGGGGGTCCATATCTGTTCGTGTTGCTTCTAGCAGGTATGTACATAAGTCTTGGACTAAATTCGTATTTTCATCTTATTTTCTCAATATCTTGATTTATTAGCCATAGAAAACATGTATTGTGTTTTCCTAATAAATTGGGTTCTGATCGTCTTCGTCAAATTCAGAGTGAAGTGCGAGTCCGAGTTAACTTAACTTTGAGAGGAAAACATTTGTTTATTAAAAAGAAAGAGAAAATTCCGTCGCGCCGCTTTGCTTTGTTGACTAGCTGTTAATATGGAGAGAGCAATAGCAGATAAGCGATTCAGTAGAACTTAGAAAGGACATTTTTTCGGTAGAACTTAGGGGATGTTTGGATGGAAACCAAACTATGGTTTTAAAAGTATTTTTACGGTAGACGAAATAAATATACAGAGGAATTTGTCTCATTGTGTGAAAAAGTAGTTTTCAAAAATATTTTTTCATACTAGCAAACACCCCTTAGAAACTGTGGGATAATAGAAATAGATGCATTTTTTCCTACTGACAACATTTTAGTTTCTCTTTGTTCCATTGTCAATCACACCATCAAAGCTAACAGCCTTTTGAACCTCATAGATGCTGAAGCTCAGATGGTAGTGCCTTGTATTTTTTGTACATTCTGTTAATACATTTTCCGTCCCACTAAAAAAAAAAAGAAGAAAGAAAGAAAAAGAAAGGATTTTTAATTTGCTAAATTATTTCACCAGACCAACGGTCTTTTTCTTTTTTTGGAAAAAATACACATATCTCAGAGATCCTCTAGTCTCATTCGTGGCTGCACAAGTGCGGGATCGGCCTCTTCATGAACGCCTGTTGAGATTATTAATGCCTTCTACTGCGACGCTGGTTTCTATTTTCCTCTATGTGATATGTTTTGCTCCAGTGATCCTGGATAAAAGACCCGGGGAAACAGATAAGTTCCTGGAACTGTTACCTGAGCTCACAGGTGTTGGAGTAGTGCAACTTTCAAAATGTATGTACATAAGATGGGCGAAATACAAGAGACCTCACGGCTATTGCTCCCGAGAAGATGAAAGATTTTACTGCATGGCATTTACTGCAATTACTGTTTTGTCCGTCGTCTTACGCTCATATTCCAAGTCCTTATCCGTTGCATACGGTCTGGTTTTGCATCTTCTGCATCTCATCCTTAACTCTCTCGACTTATATGTGTCCCCGAGAGAGGCAGTCCACGAAATCCAGGTGGGTCATGGCTCATTTCTTCCCTTCTCTTAACAAGCATTGTAGAGCCATGTCAATCATATACGTTAGCTGCCTATATATTTCTTAATTATAACCAGAACATTAAGTGCATAAAGTGGAGAAAATCTGTTATTTCATCTCATTGCATCAATGCAGTACATTGTTAGAGTATTTACAGAACTTCTCAGGGTAAAATAGCAGGGCATGTATTCTAATAACCCAATAATTTAGAGCATAAATTTTTGTCTTATATGATTTTGCTGAGTAGGGATTGTACGCTGGTTAGTATATATTAGTCATTGAGCCACAACAATACTTGTGTTATGGACAATTTCTTGAGTTGATTCATAAACATACTTTACTGATGAACATGCATGCTTTTATGAGCTTGTTCTGAAATATAATGGTTGCTTCAATGGTTAAGCATGGCGTGGAACCGGAACAAAATGTCAGCCGTACCCATGCCTCTTCTTTGAACACTGAGCTGCTTGATCAACAGAATTATGATGTTGCTCATTCAGTCTCTTCTACCACCAACTTTAGCCCATGTGAAACAGAGGATCCTACAGGGACTGCAGAAGTTGGAGCTGTTTCTTTGAACATTGATGAATCGGCTGATCAACGCAATTACGATGATCCTCAGTTATTCTCTTCTCCCTCAAATTTTAGCCAAAGGCGAAAATGGGATCCTCCTACAGGGGATTGTGGATTCGCATCTGTTCATGTTGCCTCTCACAGGCATGTATACAATTCTCAGCCTTAATTCATATATTGATCTTATTTTCTTAATCTGATCATTTATTGGTCAGTAGTTAATGCATTGTGTGGACACTTGCGTAGACATCAATGTGTTGTGTTTTGGCCATTCTTGACAGAGTAACCAGAGTCCCAAGTGCAGTAGAAGAAGGAGAAGAAGATGACGCTAATTCAACCTCTGATGCCGCCAATTTTAGCATATGGGAAAAAGGGGAAATTATTGGAGTTGGTGGATATGGGACTGTTTACGTTGCCTATAACAGGCATGAGTACACTGAAATTTTGATCTTATCATCTTAATATTAATTTCTTATTAAGAACAATGTGTTGGAAGCCTAGCTAATAAGCCGTAAACACTTGCTTGAAGCATATAAGCCATGTTGTGTTCATTTCTGACAGGGAAATCAAAACATTATGTGCAGTTAAGGAACTTAAAGACATTTTCAAACTTGAAAATGTAGAATCTATTAAAAAGGTACGTCTTATATATACTACTAAAATTTCCTTGTCGCACATATAATCCACCACAAGTGATGATTCTGTCATTGAAGAATCAGAAACTCAAAGCCAGAGCCCTAATTTCTAATGTGTGCAAATAGAATAAGAAAGTAAGAATAAATTCTGGAGTAGAGTTATAAACTGAACACTAATTGTAATTAAACTCTATACTCTTCTCATCATTTTTACTCTTAAAAACATGATATATACTTAAAGAAATCCAAATTAAATTCTCTTCCCATTACTTTTTCTATTAATTAATAAACATTGTAATTCCAAAGAATCCGAATTATGCCATTTATAGTTTCGAAATTCAACAGAACTGCAGTGATTATGATGTCATTGCAAGTTAATAAATCCTTCACCTATTTTAAAAAGTTAAAATACATATTTGGTCTTTTAACTTTATACAACTTCTGGCCTTAAGTATAAAACCTCATTTGTAAACTACAAACAATGCCTTATACTTAGGACTGGAGGTAGTATAAGGTTTGAAATTGATCTCTTAACTCTGAAAATGATACATTTGATCATTTAACCCTAAAATCATTAGGCTTAAATGATGTTTTTTGTAACAATCATGATTATTTTGAAAACTAAACTTATTTTGTTAGCACTAAGAATGTTTTATCAACATTTGAATTCTTAATATCATTGTTTTTTGTTAATAATTTTAGGGTTAAAGGACTAACTGTATTTTTTTGTTAAAAGTTAAGGGATTAAATGAAACCATCTATAAAGTTAAATGATTAAATGTATACTTTAGCAATTTTAAAAAGATGGAAAAAGAAAAATATGTCTATGATTGCAATAAATTTGCACGTTTCATTGTATCAATCATGACTAAAGTATATTTGTATTTTCAGGAAATCGAAATTCTCAGCCAACTGAAACATCCCAATATTGTGAAGTATTATGGCAATGAAATAGTAAGTACCCTCCTGATTTAAGCTGAGGATGAAGCTATATACACAATTAATGACTTGGTTTCATACATAATTAGGTTGGACACCACATTTCTCTATACATGGAATACATCCAACCAGGTTCATTGAAGAAATATATATCGAAAGGGGGTCTTTTATGTGAACCTTTAATTCAAAACTAGATAAAACTTGTAATGAGAGGAAAAATTATATTGTATTGATTGCACACTGCACAAGGCAGTAACTGTACATTATATAGACAAGACAAAACCCTAGAAAGAATAGAGATAGGCCACGTATACATTAGAAGAAATAAACTACAGTCAGTCACTTAGTAATTTCACTCTGGGCCTATTGGGCTTTGCTCTTGAGTAATGGCTGGGCTTATGTGTTATTCTATTTGTCTTAACATCCCCTCTCAAACTTGGGCTTGGAGATCTGGTGAGGCCAAGTTTGTCACAGAAGGCCCGAAATCTGGAATGGGAGAGCGCCTTGGTGAAAATATCCGCAATTTGCTCAGAGGAGGGAATATAGCGAACACACAGCTGATGATTCATTACCCGATCTCTGAGATAGTGCACATCCAATTCGATGTGTTTAGATCTTGCATGGAAGACAGGATTTGATGCTAAGGCGGCAGCACTCATATTATCACACCAGGCGATCGGAGTTCGATTCAATCGGGCACCAAGTTCTTTGATCAAGGATTGAATCCAGGCAAGCTCGGTGGCGAGATTTGCAAGTGACCGATATTCGGATTCGGCACTCGACCGAGACACAACGTTTTGTTTCTTCGCAGACCAAGAGATAAGAGAGTCACCGAGATAAACACAGTAGCCTCCTATTGAGCGACGATCGTCAGGGCAAACAGCCCAATCGGCATCAGAAAATCCTTGGAGAGTAAGATGAGTACTCGGCCGAATATGCAGAGCAAAATCCGAGGTGCCTTTTAGATAGCGGAAGATCCGTTTAAGCGCCTGCCAGTGAGTGTCCGTTGGAGAGGTAAGGAATTGACTGAGTTTATTTACAGCAAACATGATGTCTGGTCGTGTATTGATGAGATACTGTAAGGCTCCAATAGCTTGTCTGTAGGGAGTCGGATTTTTCAGGGGAACTCCATCATGCTTTGAGTAGTGTTTATTAACAATCATAGGTGTTGGCACTGATGAGGAATTTCCCATTCCAAATCTGTGAAGCAGATCGAAAATATATTTTTCTTGCTTAAGATACAAGCCGGTGTCATCTCTGTACGCCTCTACTCCAAGGAAATAGTGCAGATTACCCAGATCCTTAAGTGCAAATTGATCATTTAGGCGTTGAATGAACATAACGAGAGTTTTTGAGGAATTTCCCGTAATGATTATGTCATCAACATAAATTAGGACAAAAAGGCAGAACTCCTTGCTCTTGAAAAAGAATAGTGATGTGTCACATTTGGAATGTGTAAAACCCCAATTCAACAGTACTGACTTTAAATTCTCAAACCAGGCTCTGGGAGCTTGTCTTAGACCATAGAGAGCCTTCCTCAAAAGACAGACATGATTTGGAAATTTACTGGATTCAAAGCCTATAGGTTGCCTCATATAGACTTGTTCTTGCAATTCTCCATTAAGAAAGGCATTATTTATGTCTAACTGTCTAATAGGCCACCCAAAAGTAACAGCAAGAGAGAGTACAAACCTCAGAGTGGAAGCCTTCAACACTGGACTGAAAGTCTCATCAAAATCGATTCCTGGGCTTTGTTGAAAACCCTTAGCTACTAGCCGAGCTTTAGGTCTAAACACAGTTCCATCTGCATTAGACTTTAGTTTGAAGACCCATTTAGAGTCAATAAGCTTCATATGTTTGAAATGAGGAACAAGGACCCAAGTTTCATTCCTGACAAGAGCATTAAACTCCTCAGCCATAGCCCTTCTCCAATTTTCTGAATTCAAGGCTTCTTTGACAGTAGACGGTTCTTTTAGAGTCGAATCTGCAATAGCTACACCAACATATGGTTGTTTTGGTTTATGAATTCCAGCTCTGCTTCTTGTCACCATGTGATGTTGAGTCGGAATTAGTTCATTTCCAGCTGACTGAGGGCTAGCTTCTTCATTGCTTGACTCTTCTGCTTGTTCTGTGTTCTGTCCTGTTGAATGCTGACTTTCATGTAACCCATTTTCTCTCTGATTTTGAGTAGAGGACTGACTCAGTATTTGTTCTGCAACTGCAGGTTCAGAGGAAGGCAAATCATCTGATGAGGAGTGTGCTGTGATTTGAGGAGTGGCGGCTTCACCAATATTGTGATCAGTTGGACAAGTCTTAAAGGCAGACAAGAGAGGTTGAAAGAAGGCCTTAGGATGCATAGATTCCTCAGGTATTTTCCTTTTGTTGATGAAGCCTGTTGAAAAAGGAAAATCACACTCATTAAATACAACATGTCTAGAAATATACACTCTTCCTGTTGGACTCAAACATTTATATCCTTTGTGAGAGTTGCTGTAGCCAATAAACACACACTTTACAGACTGAAATTGTAGTTTATGCTCATTGTATGGTCTTAGACATGGAAAGCAAGCTGAACCAAAAACCTTTAGTGAGTTGTAATCTGGATGTCTGCCTAGGAGACGGAAATGGGGTGAAATTCCTCCCAAAACCGGAGTAGGTAGTTTATTAATAAGTTGAGCTGCTGTATGAAAGGCTTCCCACCAGTAAAACAAAGGCATTTTAGCTTGTGCTAGAAGTGTAAGACCCATTTCTACAATATGCCTATGTTTCCTTTCAGCTCTGCCATTTTGGGCTGATGTATGAGGACAGGAATGTCTGAAAACAATTCCATTTTCACTCAACAACTTACTAAAGCTTCTGTATTCTCCTCCCCAGTCACTTTGGATAATTTTGATCTTATTATCAAATTGCCTTTCAGCTTGAGTTTTAAACTGAACAAACATGGGCAGTGCCTCATCTTTAGTTTTTAGAGGGTAGATCCAAGAGAACCTACTGTAATCATCAAGAAACAGAATATAATACCGAAAACCATTCATTGAGGTTATTGGAGAGGGACCCCAAAGGTCCGTGTGGATTAATTCTAGTGGTTTTGAGGCTCTAGAAGCAGACACCTTGAAGGGAAGAGAGTGTAACTTTCCATACTTGCAAGATTCACAGAAAACAGACTCATTTTCATTGATAGGAGTCATTTGCAGATTACATTCTCTAATTAGCCGATTCAATATTCTATTGCTTGGGTGTCCAAGCCTACAATGCCAAAAAGTCCTACTAGAATAGCTAGATTTAGTTGCTGGAGCACTAGCTTCTTCTTCTGCAACAAAAACTACTTCAGTTTCACCATTCTGTCCTTGCTTACTGATTCGAAACATACCACCATTACTTGGTCTTCCCTCCAGTATTGTTTCCCCTGTGTCCTGATTCTTCACAAAAACACCACTGGTATTAAAGATCACATCAGCATCATTATCATAAGCCATTTTATAAACACTCAGCAAGTTTTTCTTGATCTTTGGGGTATACAGAATGTTTTTCAACTCAACTTTTCTTTTAGTACCATTATGAATGATGGATGAGCCAACTCTTTCAACTCCTAGCTTAAATCCATCACCAACAATCACATTCATCTTACCATTAGGTGTAGTCGGATTGTCCAGCTTGCTGAGATCGTTTGTCACATGACTTGTTGCTCCACTATCCAAGTACCAACCATCATCATTTACAGTCTCGGGTGTTGCCCAATATGCACTATCAAGTTCAGTATAGTCATTTCTGTCTTTGTTCTGTTTGCTACCTGGACCATGAAAAGAACGGTCATATCTATAAAAGCAATGTTCAACAACATGACCAACCTTGTTACAAAGCTGGCATTTTATAACATCAGTATCATTGTTGTTGTTGTAGCTGTTATAACGTCCTCCTCTTCCAAATCTTCCTCTACCACGTCTGCCACGGTTTCCTCTTCCTCCTCTCCAATTGTTTCTGGAAGAAGAACCACCATCAGATCTGGCATAGTTAGCAAAGTTGTTGCTGAGTGACAGTTGAGCAAGCTGATTGAGTTGCTCCAGCCGGCTTTCAAAGGTGAACAAAGAAGTCTGAAGATCAATCCAGCTCAGTTCTTCAGCTTGATTGGATAGTTGAACCACTATGGGGTTGTAATCTGCATCTAAGCCAGCCAACGCTTGAATAATCAAGTCAGGAAGAGGAAAGGGACTTCCAGCCAGGGTAAGTTGCTCTCCAATGCCTTTTATTTTCGCCAAATACTCTCCCATTTTCATGGTTCCCTTTCTGGTTCTTTGTAGCTCAGCACGCAGCATAAGAAGGCGTGATTTCGTCTGAGCACCAGCTAGTTGTTTCGCTGCTCTCCACAAGCCAGCAGAGGTGGATACATTGGTCATTTCTGAAGATATCTCCAGAGTCATGGTGTTCAGCAACCATCCAAACAGCAACTGATCTGCAGCTTCCCAATCTTCAAAGTCGGGATTCAGCCTGGAGGAGTCATTCTCTTTGATAAACTGAGGAGGGCAAGGTTTGGTGCTGTTGATAAAACCTTCAAGTTTGTGCCCTTTGATAATGGGCAAAACGTGAGTCAGCCAGATGGAGTAGTTGGTTCTGTCCAACTTGACAGAACATGTCTGAGAGAGTGTATTGCTCTTCTCAGTCAACCTGGCAAGAGCTGTGGCCGAACTCAGTGAGCTGTTGCCTCCATTGCTTCCGGTGCTCTGTAATCCTGGGTTTTCAGTGTGAGAGGTTTGTTCTGCCATGGCGGCTAGCCTAGGGCTCTGATACCAAGATAAAACTTGTAATGAGAGGAAAAATTATATTGTATTGATTGCACACTGCACAAGGCAGTAACTGTACATTATATAGACAAGACAAAACCCTAGAAAGAATAGAGATAGGCCACGTATACATTAGAAGAAATAAACTACAGTCAGTCACTTAGTAATTTCACTCTGGGCCTATTGGGCTTTGCTCTTGAGTAATGGCTGGGCTTATGTGTTATTCTATTTGTCTTAACAAAACTTCACTGCACAAATTCTCTCTGGGTTGGTTTACCTGCATAGCAAAAGAGTTGTTCACAGGTATTTTTCAAACGTGTATGGAATATCGCGTGAGTTCTGGACATTGTGACACACATATCTTGTAGGATAGTTAATTTTT